TACTTATAGTCTTACTTATTTAACGGGGTATAAATATTACTATAATAGATCGTATAAAATAAAGGAAGGGTTCGTTATTAATATCGGGGATCGGTTAATTAGCGCGGGGTTAGTCGGGGGCGGGGGTACGAATATAAGGATTTTCGCGGTTAGGGATCGAGGATTTTTAAGGTCGAGGATCGGAGATCGAGGCGGAGGTCGCGTAATTCGGCGCGGGGTTCGTTAGATTAATCGAGGCGAAGACGAGAGGCTATTCGTAGATAGTAAGGCTATAGGAATAGGTCGAATAAACTATTACGGCGTAAGGGTAGCGTACTATAGGGGTTAGGTTAGATAACTATTGTTCGACGAGGGGTCGGAAGTCTAGGGCGCGAGGGCCGCGAGAGGTAAGCTCTCGAGGCGTAGGCTAACTCCCGACTACGTAACCTAGCGTTACCTAACCTAGGTTATATAACTATATAACTATAGATACTATAACTAAGGAGTAGGTAAAGCCTGTGATAGTGGATGCTGTATATGGCGCTAAGTTGACCGTTGTCGCGGAAATTCGAAGTCTTAAGGGGTGATTAGGCTGGTCTATGCCTTCTGTTCTCTTATCTGGTAGAGATATAGGAAAGAGCCTAGAACTAGCTCCACTTTAGGGTAAGAACAAATAAAGAACATGTTAAACGGAAAGTTTACCTATCGAATACGAATAAGAAGTCTGATCCCGGTTGTAGGTTAAAAATGTATTTGCCGGCTGACCAGCTGGTTTCGCGTGGTAGCGGTTAAGAAGTCGACTACGTTATCTGGCAAAAGTGATACCAGCTTTCAGTAACAATTCACGCCCCCCCGCCGGCTATGTCCAGCCTAGGATCCACCCCTTAGAATATTCTTGGCTACCTAGTCGCTCCGAAGGCAGTGGTCTAGTGTCGGGAAATTTTAAGGGAGCCTTCGAGTGTATGAAATTTAACGAAAGGTATTACTTAGTGTATGAAAAAGTGAAATGATAACCTTTCCTATTTAGGTTAGATTAGTAGCCCGTACGTTATAGAGGGTTAGGGTTATATATAGTGGAAAAAAGCTAGCCTAATTCCAGCCTAACTTGCCTTCCGCGACTCTAAGACTCGTAAGATACGCCCTAGCCAGATCGATCTCGATAAGCGCTAATTCTTCTATTTCTACTACTTTCGCCTTTTTCCACCTTTTTCTTACCCTACTACGCCTATCTACACACCCTAGAACACTACAAATCCCTATTTTCCGTACATCTCGATCGCTATTATAGCTTTATCTTCTTCTACCCCCGTACCTATAACTCCGACTACCGCCGAGTCTATTCTGGCGCTTCCTACGGATAAGGTTAATCGGTAATTCGAAGAGTCGACGAGCGCTAGCTTTAAAGGCGTACGTAAGACCTACAAATAATACGTAAAGACTATAGCCGCGAACATTAAACGCCAGCGCGACTACCTCGTCGGATGCTATACCTACCTTACTAGACGACCGGCGTCTTAGAACCTTACCCTCCTTTTATTTAATTTCCGGCCTAACGCTCCTAACTTTTAGTAAAGGGTAATAAGAGCCGCCGCCGTAGCTATTTTCGTAGGGGGGCTACCTTTCGGTATCTTCGAGACGGAGGAGATAAAGCTACTTATCTTAATCCTTAATAATGCTTAGTCCCCCTTTACGCGCGGTACCGTCGTCTCTCGCCTTCCGATCGTCTAGAACGAACTATAAGCCTAAGTCCTCGATTTAGTAAAAGCCTCGACCTATATTAACCTTATCCTCGACGGTTCCGACGATTAGACTAGCCGCCGAATAGTTAATATCTCGATCTAGATCCCTAACTACTACGCGCTTTATTAGCGCTCCGTCGATATAAAGGCCGATACCTACTCCGCCGAGGGTACGGTCGCTTTTACTACGCCTATCTTTAAGACTATCGTATAGGGGGACTTTACTAAGATTAACGCCGTTGTTACCGATACTAACGCTACGATACGACTCTTCTATTAAAAGATACGGTAAGTACCTAGGTTTAGCTACGTCTTCTTTAACCTTTATAACTCTTACGGCCTATAATTACTGGTAAAGGATATTTCCGGTATAGTACGATAGGATAAGGTCTTTATTAACGCTAGTAAGGTCGTTACCTTCTTTAAGAAAGTAAGACTCTATCTCGCTTAACTACGAGGCTTTTAACTTGCTAGCCTACTATAGAAAGAGAAGGCGTTAATTACTAGCGTGATTATAAGATAGGGAACTTAAATTACCGCTATCTAGTCGCTTCTAGTAAGTAAGGACGCCCTTCTAGTATAAGTCCGCGACCCCGTTATTAAGGCCGACGAAGTTAAGTAGGCTAGCCTCCGTAAGATTACGGCTTTAGTACGCGACTATACCGGATTCTAGTACGAGATAGAACTTTTAAAAGCTATCTTGCTCCCTATCTATTAAGCGTAGAAAACCTCCGAGGCCGAGTAATCGTACGTCGGTTATACTCTCCAGCTCTAGAAAACGATTAAGAAGCGATAGCGCGACTTATAAGCCGACGCCGAATATAACGAGGTGTAGTGGAGGCCCCTGTTTAGTACCCTATAGGCGCGTACGGCTACTTAAACCCTAGATATCTATTTCGTAAGATAGTGCCTCTAGCCGGAGACCGTCGGCTACTAACTACCGCCTTATTATCTAATACGGACCGAGGCCTTCCTTAAGGAAAATTATACTATAGAAGTATAGCCTAGTATCCTTAGGGACTTCTACGATTTTAGAGTAAGGGAGGGCTAGTATTTTAGACTACATAGCGATATGTTTTTAAAGGGGGTAAAACCTTACGCTACCTGGCTTCGGCTTAGTAATCTGGGGATCGTACTAGCTTACTTAGTACGCCGGACTTTCAGTACCCTAGCTAATTCCGTACCTTCTGAGCGGTCCTTTTCTGCTACTAATTTCCTCCACTCTAAGACTTGGAATCGCCTTACGGCGGAGAACGCTGATTACAGCGCCTTCGTCTATATTAACGGTCGAGTGCTGGCGCGCCTTGAGGCGGCGTAGAAAGAGAGCCCTTTGGAGAGGCCGGTAATAGTGGCTAATAAGTAGGAGACTACCTCCATAGAAGATTTGCTGGAAATGGAGGATGTGTTCCAGGCCTCGTTGGATCAAGAGGGTGGCGATGGTAAGGATTTCGGTAAAGGGTAAGATGTTATTGTTGTACGAGGCTGATAGGTAGGGTCGTCCGAGATCTTCGTTTTTCCTACTACGAGGGGGGGGGTGATGGATATCTTGCCCGGGCACTTCCGCATATACAAAACCCTAACCCCCTATTTCAGGGTTTTTTAATTTCAGACATGGCTGGCCTTGTATGAAAGTGGCTTGAAATATTTCATGAAATTCGGAAATGAAATTTTCAATTTCCCATCACTGAGTGGTCAGTTAAAGAACAACCATGGCCCTGCCCCCGACACTGCAGAGCCCAGAATCCACCCCCCAGCACGCCATCGCCCTTAAGAGTCCTCCTCCTCCTCCACCTGCTCCGAACAGAGCGAAAACATCCACCCCTGCTCCCAACACAAGCCCAGGAGCGCCTTCTGCAGTCTCCCGCGGAACGACTCAGAATGGACCCCCTCCCTAAACGACGGCGACACCCTGATCACCGTAATGAGCGTCTCCACCACCGCCTGGATGGGCACAGCGTTCTCCCCCTCCATCAACTCCCGAATATCCGAAATCTGATCGACCTTGTCCTTCAGAGACGCCTGGAGACGGGCGACCTCCTCTTTCAGATCCTCGACCTCCTTCTCCTTCGCGGCCAGGGCCTGGGTCGTCTCGATGTCCGCCGCCATCATGCGGGCTATCGATTCCCCGAGGGTTGTGAGCTCGACGGCTTTGTGCTCCATCGCGAGGAACTGCTGGCGGCGGAACTGGTACTTTTTCTCGGTCGTGTCGAGGAGGAGGGTGGTTTCCAGGTACTTGATGGCCAGTTGCTTGTTTGTCACTTCGAGGCGGGCGACTTGGGCCTGGAGATTGCCGGCTTCAAGCTCCTGGCCGCTGTCCCGAGCGGACGGGCCGGTTTTAAGCATGTCGACGGCGGTTTCCAGGGCGTCTACCAAGTGGGAGGTTTCATGCCAGGTCGCGGGATGATCGGGTTGGTGAGATGACGCCGCGGCGACGCGAGTTTCATTGTGCGGTTCTGACATTGCGGATGGTGTTGAGTGAGAAGATGGGGCTTTGGGGAGGTGTGGTGTTGGGAACGGAAATTAATTGTAGATGCCGGGGCTTTGGATGATTAAATGCAGATTCTGTCCTGGAACTTTCATAGGTCACTGAGGCTGGATAGAACCGAGGCCCTCGGAAACAGGCAAGGAAGGCATTTCATATGTCTCTGGCTAGCCTTGAAGCCTGGGCAATCTGGACGCAGAAAGTCGTGGAACTGAACTGAGGCGCGAGGGAGAGAAATCTCGTCTTTCATCACAGCAACCTGATGAATACAAGTACAAGGAGTCATGAAAAGGAGGCCTGACGGAAGGGGACCGCGAGACGTCTTCGGACAGTCCACAGCTAGATGGCGCGTCTCGCCAGGGAAGACGGTCGGATGGCCTATGAGGTTGAGAGTGCCGGCAAATTTCATCCGCATCAACCTATAGCTCTCGTTGTTCTGGCCCTCGGTGTCAACCTAAGAGCCGCAGTCGGCACCTGGGGCGGTTAGGTTGAGAGCTTTCCTCCAATCTTTGCAGATAGACAGCGTCAACCCCGTCAACCATTGAATTCTTGCTCGAAGAGCGCAGTCGCAGTGTAGGCACCCCATCACTGCTGTTTCCCTTGGCTACTATCCCCACACACGTTGGACGCTCTACCCTTTGTGGGAGGTGGACCGTTGGGGGCGCCGTCAATTGCAGTTCAATGGAAGCTAGCATCGCCATCTTCGCCAACACAGGCGCCAGTTCAGCGCTCGCGAGTCCAACTCGAGAGCTTATTTCAGCTAAAAGAAAGGAAAAAGATATAGACAAAAAGACAGACCCCGGAGCCGCAGTGAATCGAACACTGGACCTTTCTCACCTTCTTGATAAAACTAACCCTCACGGGTCAGTAAACCCCTAGGGGATGAACACCGCACCCAAGGATGGAAAGTTTAATCAGGTGAGACGTACTACCACTGTACCACAGCCCCTTCAGTATTAATTGATGACAATCAGTTCTTGCGATCTCCCCTATGATAGACACCGCTCCTTCCCCCCCCCACCCCAGAAAAGACCACTTCAAAGCCCATGTCATCCCCCCTTTCAACATTCACCCCGAGAGGGCTCGAGTCGCCGCATCAGCCTGGTCCCTCCGCCAGCGCGCAACATCATCACCATACCTTCGCCTACGAGATTCAGCTCGTCTTCAGCGCTCCAGTCGACCCACGAGAGAGCCATCAAGCCGTTCCGCACGTCATGCAGCTCCAGGCAGTCAATCTACCCTCAGGCTCGGGATTCCACCTCCGTCCCCGCCGTTGAGTCGCCCCCCAAGATCACATCCCAGTACCATACCTTCGTCCACAAGATTCGGTTCGTCTCCGGCGCTCTACCTAGTCACCCAGTTCCCTCAGTGACCTTCTAAATCGAGCCCACCAGAGAGCTGTCACGTCAGCTCAGCGCAATCGAACACCTCCAAGATTCCATCGCCAGCGCGCTGTCCGCACTGCTCAGTCGCTCCGCCAGCACACAATATCCAGCTCAGCTAGGAGTTCCAGCGCGCAAGCAAAAGATTCATCACCACCACGCCGTCCATAAGAGTCCGTTCCTCTGTTGCCAGACCTTCGAGGCCGTCGAATCCGCCCGTCACATCAGTCAGCGCAATCAAGCACTTCCGAGTTCCACCTCGAGAGCAGCGTCTTCACAGATCAATCGCCCCTCCAACACGCCAAGGTCCAACTTGGCCAGCATCAATCATCATCATCAGTTCGCCTCCAGCGCTCCAGCAGCCCCCGACACAGGACAAGTACCCACCCCTGTGCCTCCATTTCGTTGCTGTGTCGCCCGGCTCGGGCCCGCCTCACGTCTCGGTGCCTCCGTCCTCCTGGCGCCCGCCCCTGTGGGACGCTCTCCCGGCGTCTCCCACCCGGCCAGTGCCCGTGTTCTTCGAAGCATCACACCACGGTACCGTTCCTCGGTACAGAGGACGGGGTTTCTGGGCTTGCCCTAATGCGTTTGTGGTGTGGAAGGGTCACTTGGGCTCCCTCGTGTCATCCGCGTCTCAACATTACCCACAGAGTATGGAACAGATCATGAAATATCCGAAAACATCGTACACTCCAGCCCTGGTTTGTTTGTTCGCGAGACCTCTTGCCAAGGAAGCAATACCTACATGGGAAGAGTAGACGCCTCCGGTTCTGTCTACAGGACGTAGTCGGCAGAGAAATAGGTGTCCGGCTCCAACTTAGGGCCTCTATTAGCGGTTCCTGGCCTTGGCTAGTACTAAGAATCTCGGATGTCTCGCGCCACCAAACAAACCAGTATTGCACTGTAAATTCGTATCCCAAGTGTCGCCCCCATCCGTAAATGGAATGCAATGCTACACCCGTTTCATCACAATCTCGTTCACTCATATCCAATCCATCTCCCCCTCATCATGCCAACTCCCATACATTTCACGCCTCGACCTCCCTCCTCCTAAACTCAACCATCGGCCCATCCTTCAAGCTCGTAAATGTATCCACCAACTGAAACTCCCCCTCGCGATGCCTCCCCCACTCCCTCCCCCTCCCTCCCTCGCCCGGATCCCGCACCCCCACCGCCTTCCTCACATCATACAACCACAGCGTCCGCGCCAGGGTAATCGTCATCTCGATGTACGCCAGTCCCTTGCCGATGCACCCCCTGGGCCCGATCGAGAACGGACAAAACGCACTCTGCGCCAGCGCCACATCCCCTTCATCGAGCCAGCGCTCGGGTCGGTACGAAAACGGATCTGGGTAGTACGCGGCGTTGTGGTGGATCGTGTAGTGCGGTGTGCCGACGACGATGCCCGCGGGGATGACGTGTCCGTCGATGGTGATGCCGCCGGCGAGGACCTCGCGCGGGAGGAGGCCGCCGACCGAAGGCGAGAGGCGCATGGCCTCGTCAATGCAAGCGCGGAGATAGGTGAGCGAGGCAAGGGCGGGGCCTTGGTGGATGGCTTCAGCGTCGGGGAACCTGGAGCGGATCTCGTCCGTGACCTTGGTGAGGGCGGCGGGGTGGCGGACGAGGTAGAAGAGGGTGGCGGCCATGGCGGTCGAGGTGGTGTCGGAGCCGGCGATGATGCTGGTCGGGGTTAGCTGGGGATGTGTGGTAGGAGGAGGGCGGGCTTACAGGAGGTTGGACTCGCCCCACAGCTCGGGGGTGGTGAAGCCCTGGCCGGTTTCGGGGTCGCGGGCTTTGAGGAGGTGGTAGAAGAAGTCGCGGCGGTCCGTCTCGTCGCCGAGGGCTGTTCTTTGGGTGAGCTGGCCTCGGCTGTACGCCATGTACTGAGCTCGGCCGGCGGCGATTTTCCTGAAGATGACCTTGTCGAGGCTGAGCTTGTCGACAATGGGCATGGTTCCGCACTTGGAGAGGTCAGTCATCTTGTCGCCAGCGTCGGTGTCTTGTAGCTTACAATCAAGTGTCGCTGTGCGGCAACGCCGACAAGATCCACGGCGTACCGGTTGTCCGGTCGGTCGAGCATGTGGAAGGCCTTGCCAAAGCAGAGATCACCCAGAATGTCCATGGCCAGCCAGTTGCACCAGTCGGCCATGTTCTTGGGCGCGGACCATCCCTTCTTCTCGTCGACGACACGGCCGAGGTCACCAATGGCATCGCAAAAGGTACGGATGTTGGACAGGATGTAGCGCTCTACCTCCTTGATGGCGCTGTCGGAAAAGGCGTGGGAAAGCACCCGGCGCTTGCGGGCGTGGACATCCTTGTCGCGTGTGTTATGGGTATTCGGGGCAGGGTGCACAAAGGCATCGTAGAACTCGGACTTGCGGACATTGGCCTTGAAGCCGTAGATGTCCTTGAGGGCCGTGTTGGAGTTGACCGATAGCGAGTTCGGGCCGAAGCGGACGAACTTGCCGTACGTCTCGTGCATGCGCCAGAACTCGAGATGGCGGTCGCCCTTCCAGGCATGGTAAAGCATGTAGCCATCCGTGAGTTTGGCGAGAAAGGGGCCGGGATATTTGGCCAAGGGGTGAAAGAAGAGTCGGTAGACGACGAGAATCGCAGTCTGACAACCAATCAGCCGCTGAAGACATCGAACAGATTAAATAGAGCAGACATCAAGCACGTACATATGCGAGCCCGGCTACAGCCAGGGCTCCTATCCAAAGTTGAAGATGGGCGGCGTGGAACGCCATGGTCGTGGTGATGATGAGGGAAAGATGCGCGCCTGTGACAGAGGGGAATGTCCAGACATGTCACCTATTTGAGTTCCCGAGACACGACAAAGGCCCCCGGATGACAGGGCCCGATTTACGCTCCGTCATCATCGCCGGCCTGTCAGGGGAACGTCGACGGGCTGTCAAAGAGACGTTGCTCGGGCGGTTGTGCACACAGTGCCAACCCTCGGCTTGCGGCGGCTCAAGACGGCCGGCCACGACGGCTATCGGGCTTATCGCTCGACCGCGGCGATGATGATGTCGATGGACATTCCTCATTCGGCCACCACCGACGCGCTGACTGGCGGAGGTCAGCTGGGCTGTGGGTGGAGTTTCGGCATGGCTGCCAGAAGAGAGCCGGTGGAGATGTTGACCTGCACCTCGCACAGGGAATCCGGGTTGCGCGGAAGTGCCTGCATCCTGGCAGGAGACGCTGGCGGCCACTCATCACGGCCCTGGGGGACCACGGCACCAAGCAGCGCTAGGATCGTCGGCAACACACGGTTTCGCGCGGTCTCCAAGCCAGATGTCGAGATCCGAGTCCACAGTGCGGAACCGGCTCTGTCGAGGCCATCTCGGCCATGATGGCGGAACCTGAGCGGTCTGTCCAACGTGCGACGTCAGAGGCCAAGGCGTGGGAGAGTTGGGGTCGATCATCGACGATGGTATCCGTATGGGGTACATAACCGAGGGGTTCTCCGCGTGTTCGTTTTGACCTCTTGGGGGATGCGAAGTGGTGCCATTGGGAGGGAGGGAGGTTCGAGAATTCGAGATTGACGAGAAAGAGAGAAGATGAAAACCGCCAGAATCCAATTGAGCATGGGGTCTGGGGGAAAAGGCTTGTATGATCCAGTCCTTCGGAGGACCTCGTGTGTCAAATTGACTGCAGCAGAATGCAAACACTTTCGCCGACAGATGTGGGACCTATGATGAAGCCAGCAGAAACTCGAACGAGATGGACTGCAGTGGTGTTGTGTTCTGGATGGGGTCCGTGCACAGTGCCCCTGTCCATCCATCGGCACCCCGCTGGATTTTCGCTTTGCTGCAAGGCTGATGGAAGCTGAGAGGCTGGGACAAACAGCGAAACGCGTCAATCGGCCATCTCGACCTCCTCAACGCCATCAATCCCGCACAAATTCGAGTATTGCGTAGCTGCTATCTTAGATGTCGCCGAGGTAGCCACCGCCATACAGACCAAGATGCCGGTCTGTCGGTTCTTCCAGCAGGGCAACTGCCGAAACGGAGGTACGCCAACGCGATTCCCACGCTCCCATGCAATGCAGAGACGGACCTCTCCCCTTCCTCTCCACTCGAACACGAACTCTTCCTCTTCCACAGACACCCTCGCTGACTGGTCCTGTCCACACCCCAACAGACAACTGCCGATTCGAGCATCCCGGACGCAACGCGCCCTCCACCGGCAATCGATTCGGTCCTCTCGCTGGAACATCAGCCATGGGCAGCATGAACAATCGCGGTGCGCATTCTTGGGGAGCGCCCAGCCGGGACCTGGCTGACGGAAAAAACAACAGGAAACGATCCTCCCCCATACGGCCTCAGCGAAGACTTGATCCGTAGGGATCTCGAAAACGAACTACCATCATGGCTATTCTCCGCCTACGGCCCGGGAAGAGACGCCCCCGAGCAGCTCTTTGGCGGACCAGCTAGGGAACAGAGTGCCGAAGAGATCCGCTGGCACTACCTGCAGGCCGCAGCGTCGGGCAACCCCCAGCAAGCTGTAGGCAGCCATTGTCCCTCACCTGGTCGTTGAAGATGCTGACGAGCTGTGACAGGTTGCC